ATTATTTATTTGTGAGTCAGGAGAGTGATCCAGTAATAAAAATGACAAGCTGTGTGGGATAAGATTTTTATGAGAGGGATTCTGCCTGAGACCTTGACCCATAGCAATCACTGGCAGTTGGTGGGCATGTTAACAGGCTTAATGATCTTTTCATGAAAGAAGTGGTTGAAATTCCCTTTTGAACTAGCCCTCTCCTTGGTAAAACCTGCCCCCCTTTTTTGTTTGCCCCTTCCCAGGTAAGATTTAAAACTCAAAGGTCGGTGATCTAATAGAAGTGTGGAAATGGAGAGGGGGCGTTGATTTACCCTAAATGAAAGCTGGTGTAGTTATTTTTGTTTACTTTAATAGGATAGAAGAAAGAAAATATTTTTAGCTTTTTATAGAGGTGCAGAATTTTTCCTCTGTTTCATGGGTTGTGTTTCCACAGAAGGCGGCACTGATTCCTACAGTGAAGAATCTGATTCAGATTTATCGGATGTGCCAGAGTTGGACTCTGATATTGAGCAAGAAACTCAAATCAATTATGATCGCCAGGTCAGTAAGCAAGCAGCCTCCTAACAAATGTCCCATAACCCAGAATCTCATTGTATTTGGACACTGACTAAAAATGATTGGTACTTAGGCAGAAGAGAATCAAGACAAGAAGAAGGAAAATTGCATTTATTTATTTATTGTTAATCCTCACCAGAAAATATTTTCCCATTGATCTTTAGAGCAGAAGGTGGGGGTGGGAGGGGGAGAGAGAGAGGTGAGAGAGAGAGAGGTGAGAGAGACACACATCGATTGGTTGCCTTTCACATGAGCCCCTAAGTGGGGGCCAGGGATTGAACTTGCAACCCAGGTGCCCTTGACATCCAATTGAACCCATGACCCTTCAATGCACAGCCCGATGCACTAACCACTGAGAAGCACAGGCAGGTGTTGAACACTTCTTATCTTTAAATACAGGTTAAAAATAAGACATTTACCTAATCATATTCTTAAAAAAATGTTTTTAAGTGGAAGTGAGTAGCCAAGTTTCAAGACTGAATGACATTTGGGATTTTCTACCTCCCTCACACCTAAAACTTTAAAATATTTGGAGAAAAACAATGAGCAAGTAAGCTGCCAGATTTTGTATTTCCTTAGCAGATCATTAAAGCATGTATATTCTTTACAGAATATGTAGTCTTGGAGCCACGATAGTTGCAAGTGAGCTGTTACCTGGTTTCTTTCTTAGTTTATGGAGACCATTATCCATATAAGTAAAGTAAAAGCCCAAATACAATGCACATTATTGCTCCAGTCAGAAATCACCTCTAGTATAAAAGCTGGACAATTACATCCAAATTGGGTCCTTATTTTTTTTTAAGTAGGCATTTTATTTTAGCATGAAACCATAGTATTATACAGAGCAATCCTTCCAGGGCATCTGGACACACATTACCTTGTTATGGAAATAACTAGGGGTTCTATTCTCTTCCTTCTCATTTAACAGAGGTATGTGAAGCAGATTCTTTACATGAACACTGAGTGAATAAGATTTCAGGTTTCAGACCCAGCAACTGTCAGACAGCTGCCACGTATTGGGTGTCTCTGTGGGGCCATATCCTGTGCTTTACATACACCAAGTTCAACTCCATGATAACCCTGAGAGGTTAAGTAATTTGCCCACATCCACATCGCTTGTATTATCAGGGTAAGAATGCAGATCTGGGCTTCTCTCCAAAGTGCACATTCTATGTACTACTTGGCTTTGCCTCCATATAAGCACTGAGTGTACTGATTTTCAGATGATTTATTTTTTTAGTTCATAATAATCACTCATTGATTTAGTGTTTGAAATTTTTTTTCAGTAAAAATGCCATTCAACTGATGGCTTGTTTCAAATTCATGACTACATCAGTTTGTATATTGGTACAATGTATTACGCAATAAAGCTACTGAAGATGAGGCTTTGAAAGGAAATTATTAATGTGCAAATACCACACAAACACTAAACGACATTATGCCCTGATATCAAGGGGAAATGGAATTTAAGCAAAATGGACATAAAATCTAGGAGGAGGAAAAAACAAATTTCCTTAGTTGGGAAGTTTTTATTTAATAAAAGGGTGCTAGTAAAAGAATGAAAAGTCTTAATTGTATTGAAATCTGTGCCTAGGATTTATATATTCTCCCTGACATCTTCCTTTCCAAAGCTTTTGCTGTGTTATTTGATATATGTTCACAATATTCCTGAGTTATTCCTTAGCAGGGATTTTTATTTCTGTCCAACAGGTGGGAATTTTAGGCCCTCAGAGGTTATGAGATGTTCAAATAAGCAGTAGAAATTCCGAGACTAGAATTCAGTGCTCAAAAGTAGTTGGTGCACTGATGAAAGAAAGCATCATGAGTTCAGATGAATAGTTATCTTTACATTTTAAAAGCTTAGTTCATTGCACCTGTAATAGAACAGTAATGAGATATCTTGTGACCTCCTTTTTATAAAAGGGTTTTGGTCAAATCCTAAACAGGGGCTTTATTATAATATTTCATAGATTTTATTTTTAGCAATGTAGTTTCTTCAAATGAAAACTTTCCTTTAAGAAGATGAGAAATTATTAATAGACTAGAGGCCGGGTACACAAAAATTTGTGCACTGGGGGGGGGGGTGTCCCTCAGCCCGTCCTGTGCCCTCTTGCAGTCTGGGACCCCTCGGGGGATGTCCACCTGCTGGCTTAGGCCTGCTCCCCGGGGGATCGGGCCTAAGCTAGCAGACATCCCTCTGGCAGCCCGGGAGCCCTCAGGGGATGTCCACTTGCCAGCAGGGAGCAGGCCTAAGCTGCAGTCGGATATCCTTAGCGCTGCTGAGGAGGTGGGAGAGGCTCCCACCACCACCGCTGTACTGGCAGCCATCAGCCTGGCTTGTGGCTGAGCAGACTCCCCCTTGGGGGAGCACACTGACCACCAGAGGGGAGCTCCTGCATTGAG